GAAGAGCGTTATTAGCGCGACAATGCGGACGTGAGTTGCTCGTGCTAAAAAAGCCTCTAGCGACAGATGCGAGACGAAATTGCATTCGCTGGAAGCTGTTGTAGAAGCGGCAGCTGCTTCGTTGGCAAGTCAGGAATCTCCTAAATTCTGACTTACCGATCGCCATGACATGCTGGTAAATTATTCTCAAATAGGAAAAGAAAGTCAGAGAATATAAAAGAAAATGTTCATTTTTGGAGAATAGAATTATTTTAGCCACGATTAAAACCACAACTAATGACGCGAACGATTAAAATAATCTATCATGAAAAATCTGTCTTAATTTATCTTTTTATAACTTCTGCTTCTCTATAACATGCGTATTACAATTACCCGAAAATAAATGATACGTGATTTTAAGCAAATAGATTTAAGAATTTAAAAGTATCACAGTCGCGAAAAAAGATGCAAAGTTTGACGAATATTACGCTGATTGGAAAGAAAATTTTACCGATCGATACATTAAGATCTAAACATCTAAAAATTGTTTCTAAGTATAAAAATCAAGGACGTGACTATTGGTCTTTTTTCATTATATATTTAAAGATATCACTATATATCTAGGATAATATATATTACATATTTACAAGGATAAAACAAACTTTACTGGAATAGCAAATTGTTTGTTAATATAGTAACAGCAACAATTTTTTTGGACAGCAGAAAGATTTTTTAAGTATATTAATTGCTACTTGCTGGATATAGGGACGGCAAAATAATTTGGTAATGCCAACTAAATTTTATCATTGTCGCAACGACGTTTTGCTACAACAGTAAAATTATTTTTTCCGTGTAACAAATCTTTTTGCTGTCACTATATTAACAAACAATTTGTTATTCCAGCAAAACTTTTTCTTTGTGTAGGATCCCTCCCTCTCTCTCTCTCTCTCTCTCTCTCTCTCTCTCTCTCTCTCTCTCTATTGAAATAAATCTCCTCTATTTCGAAGGAAAAGAATGCGATAAAATTTTTAATATTTCGAAACTTTTCACACAAATGAGATTTTTTTATTATTCTTTAGAAAAAAATTATTTTTTCTCTTTCAAATACTCGATGTACACATGTAACTTGCAACACATTTGCATTGGAAGTTATTCCGTGAAAACGCAAGCGGCGGGAACAAAATTGTCCCCGGCTTTAATGTCAAGCTTACGGTGGTAAGACGAATGGCAATTGCCGTTAAGAGTCTATACTTGGTCGTTCGGTTCGCTATTAGTTGCCACCGTTTCCCGGATTTTCCCTTTTCCGAGCCCTACGGGAAATAGCCTTCGGGTGCATTCTACTGGGACCAGCCGGTTCATCGTGGGGGCAGATTGCACTCTCCGGTAGACCTGGCTGGAAACATTTGCCACATGGCGCAGCTGCGGACCCACGAGAGACCGTCGTTGTCCGTTTCCAATTCATTTTCCATCGACTGGATTTTTTTCCGCGTCCTTTTTCCGACCTGATCGCATAGAAATGGAAAAATCGTGACTTACGAAAGACGAGTAAATTCGTCTCGTCTCGTCGTCCTTGTGTACATCTTAGACCACGAAGCTCGTGAATATATTTGGTATTTCGATTACGTAAAACCGGTAAAAGTTAGAATAACGGAGGATCAGGAGAAAATCGGGGGGGGGCCGTTCTACTAATAATAAAATTATCAGAATTCTTCGCTTTAATCGCGCGATATGGTACTCTTCGCGGAAAGAGATCTCATCTCGTACCGAGTAAAATGCGATAGCGTTCGGCAGCTGAAACTTCCTCACGTTTCTCCTCGGGTATCCGTGAAACGCGGCGACGAAATTATGACGCGTGCGAGCGCGAACTGTGTTATGCGGATGGTGTCGTTGACGTCGCAGTAATTAAACGCGGTTGCCAGCAGCGGCTCCGACGCTCTCGCTCCCTGCTAATTAATCGAAATTTATTAACGGCGTCTTCGCTCGGCGCTCGAGCACGGGCAGGTGAATAGAAACAACATGGGCGCGGTTTCTTCCTTTTTTCGCCCTCTTCCATGGCTTCGAGCACGGCACCCTGACCCTGGGCACACGGCCAGCTGTCTCACTCCACCCCTTTTGTGAGAGGCGCACACTGCTCTAAGAGTGGGATTTGTCTATCCCTGCGCACGTAGAAAGAAAGAAAGAGAGCGAGAAAAGCGAGAGAGAAAGAGAGAGAGAGAGAGAGAGCGAGAGAGAAAGAGAGAGGGTGCTGTGTAGTGCGCAAGGACGGCGGGATCGTCGGGCGAGAGAACCAGGGCGAAGGAACTTTTGTAGAGCCCGCGGAATAATTAGCATGCTCTCCTCAGCAGCCTAATTTTAATGGTACACCGAGATACGGCGTTTCATATTGTAATTCGTTCTACATTGTAGCTCGCACGGCCCTGAATATTATTATCCACCGCGTTTCCTCCAGCGAAGTCCTTACACACATCGAAGAAGAGCATCGCGTTTTTATTGTACGCCGCTACTCGGTTGAATTCGCGGACACCTCGCAGAAACTTAAACGAAAACTTTTCTTCCGCGAGATGCGTCGGCCCTCTAATCGCGCGTTCAGTTCTCACTTTGGTTATCGATGGTCTCGGAATTGTTATCACGGCGCGATATTCGTATTTGCAATTCGATCCGATATGATATTGAACTAAACGTATAATATAAATTACTTATTAGAGAGAGACAAGGTGGTGAAGCAACAATTACGCTTTTAGAATTAAATATCTTACTTTATCGCACGATCTACGGTGATATTTCTAGGAATATATTGTACACGGGGAAAAAGGTTGGAAATTTATCATACAGCGAACAAACCAAACGCGTTTTGGTTGAAGGAAATAGAATTTCTAGGTTCTTGCGACTTAAATTTGGTTTTTACAAACAGAAATTCTGTTTCCTTCAACCGGAACGCCTTTGGTTTGTTCACTGTCTGGTAAATTCGGTCAAATTTTTCCATATATTTTTAATTATAAATTACATTTATACAATATAAAACTCATATTAAACTTCGATCATTATAACAACCCCCATAGATTCTCGTTTATATGAGAAAATAGCGAGCAGGTCGTTGGACGGTGGGTAAGTGCAACATTGTGTCTATCCAAAACGACCTGTTCCCGCGCGTGACGTGTAACGAAAAAGCAGAGCGGCATAGAATCGGCTGTGGCTTTGTATTGTAACGTTGTTCAAATATACGCGGTATATCCGTCCAATGATCGCAACAATAGCGATAAATGAAAAGATCACGCGGTACCGTTCTCCGAAAACACCCGGTAGATTTCTGCAGGCCCAGCGCGGAGGCGCGAGTGAGAGAGACTCGTACACATTCGCGAACACATACGCGAGACGCACGTATGCGATGTGTGCGCGATTGGCGCGAGTCGAGAGCGAACGGGCGGAAGAGAGAAGGAGCGAGATAAGAGTCAAGCGTGAGAGCGAGAGAGCGTGCACGTATGCACGCTCACGCGCTCGCGTGCACGCATTCGCAGCGCGCGTGTAGCCGGCTGCGAAAACCGGCGTGCGAAAAGCAACCAATGACGAGCAGAGGCGGGAGTCGGTGGGGTCATCCACGTGGTTCGCGAGCGTCCAATCGGAGGGTCGCCGCCGGCGGATTTCGAGTTGGTTTCCCGCTCGGCGCGCCGCGTTCGCGTTCGCGCGCGAGAGAGACGGACGAGAGGAAAAAAAAGCAAGAGAATGCACGCAAGAGAAGCGAGGAGAGAAGCGCGAATTCGCGAGAGAGAGAGAGAGAGAGATGCTAGCGACGGTAGAGGGAAAAAAAGAGGAAGAGAGACGAGTTTGCATCGCATCTCGACTCCCCCTTTCCTCCCGTACGCTGGGTGGCAAAGGGGTGAGAGAGAGAGAGAGAGAAAGAGAGAGGGGCATAGCAGGCCGAACACGAGAGCCCCTTAGACATCGCGTCGTGGTCTAGCCAAAGAGAGGAGAGCTTGGTAGGAAGGTGCGTCGTCGTTCGCAAGAAGGAGAGACGGAGAGAGATAGAGAGTGAGGGGAAGAGAGAAGGAAAGATAGAGAGAGAGAGAGAGAGAGAAGCAATCGCTCGGACACGGCGCGAATCAACGAGAGAGAGAAAGAGACGGACCGGTCAACTCGCGCGCGTCCCTTAAACTTGGAGCGGTCGGGGAGAACCATTTCTGCGAGGACACGCCGGCCGGTCTCCATCGTCGTCGGTTTCTGCGAGCTGCTGACGGACAGCCACCGGAAGCGCGTCAGATTCGCGCAACAGCGCCGCGTTCGAGTCGTCACCGTGAGACGGACAGACAGACAGACAGAGACAGCGAGTGAGACCGCACACACAGTCGTCGCCTATCCGCGGATCGAGCGGCTCGCAGTCGGCTAGTCGAGGCGCGAGGAAGCCAACAGCGGAAAACAAAAGAAGGTGCCAGCCCGATCGAGGACCGATCTCGTCGCAGAAATCGCCCAAGGGACCTCCGTGCTCTCGTCCTCGTGCTCCCGCCTCTCGCGTGTGCAGCCCGTGACCCACGCGCGATCCGCCGCGAACGTCCGCGCCGCTCTCTCGTGTTCCAGCCAGGATACACCCGCGTCTCGTGTCCCGGCCAGGATTATCGCCCATCGTCTCAATCGTCTCCGCTCGCCGAAAAAACAACGAAGGACGCCGTGCCTTCAGGTCCCCCGGAGCCGACTTTCTCCGCCGTATCGCTGGTACCGCGCGACCAGCCGCCGCCGCCGCCGCTTCCCGCTCTCCATCCATCCATCCACGCACCACGTTCTCCTCCGATCCGTCCGCGCGATCCTCGTGATCCCGGTGTCGTGTCGCGTCTCCCCCCTCCCCATCCGCCTCGGGGTCCACGTAGACCCCCGAATCTACGACGAGGTCAGTACTCGAAGCCGGGTACGCGAGTCCGCGCGCGCACGCGCACCGAATCGTCGTCGCCGAGTCCGACACACGTGACCGAGCCGCGAACTCGGTAGAAGCCGGCATCATAGCGTCGAGCAGAAGCAGCGAGCAGCCAGCCACCATGTCGAAGCTCTATGTGGGCAATCTGCCGTCAGATTGCAACGAGAGCACCCTCAGGCAGCTCTTCCAGGAGCACAGCCTGGCGTGCACCACGATCCTGGTGAAGCGCGGCGGCTACGCCTTCGTCGATTGCGCCGATCAGTCCACGGCCGATCGGGCGATCGACAAGCTGAACGGTGAGTTTACCGACGTGAGATCTCTGCTTTTAACGGTGCTTTTGATCTCGACGCTTGTTCCGATAACGCTTCTCACACGTTGCCTCTCCCCACTGCTAACGACGTCAACAACCACGACACGATGACCAAGAGGAGGAGAGCTCCGAGAGAAGAGGAAACCGAGGAAGGACGTTCCCCCGCTAACCTAGCCTCGCCTCGCGCCGCTTTGTTCATTTTTTTGTACGCTAATAAAACGCTTCCACCGCTTTGCCACCTATGCCGCTGCTTTCTCCCTAAGCTTATGCGAGTTACTGCAAGCTGCTGCGAGCCGGTCCCGTAAACATCAGTCGACCGATGCTTGCGGAAGCGGACTCGTGAGAATCGCGACGAGATCTTGCCTTGGCGAATCTACCTCCCCGTAGTCACCTGAGAGAGCGAACACGAATGTTCGTCGAACTACCCTCTATTCTGAATCGGCCGAGCCCGTTCGATACTTTTTCGCTCGCGAACAACTCCACTCATCTATTGTCGCCGCCCGCAGGATCTCGCTGTGCATTCAACGCTAATCGTCTCCGCTCTTTGGCGCGTCGATGCGCCCCGCTTTGTTTAGACGACGCTTTTTACCGCCAGATCGTAAGAACCGCCGAGTAGATATAAGGAACTGCTTTAGCATGCCTCCGACGCTTTCCAGAGACGTTAACGCGTGAGTATTTCCCACAGGAACTTCGCGAGGAGAGGCAGACCGCGCGAGGTGTGTCTCTCGGGAGGTTCCCCGAGGAAAAGCTATTTTGACACGTCGTTGTCACGTCGATAGTCAATCATCGATTATGTTTTATTTTCCTAATACAGATGATGCTCGCGCGCTTCGACGTGAAGTTGTGCAGTTGGAGCTCCGAAATGTTTCCGGTGTTTAACGAGATAATGACTATCAATGTGACGAACGGAACGGTCAATGTTATCGTGTAATTATCGACAATGTAAACTGCCACATTGTAGAATCCTAATTACTTAAGTAGATATGTTAATACATATATTAAACCGAGTCTCCGACCGACGATTAACGACTGTTTAAAAGAATAGCCTCGTGTCGTGTAGAAAAAAAAAATAAGGACTAATCCCTCTTTTTGTTCCTCTTCGTCAAAGAGAAACTCTTCCCCCTTTTTTCTCTCTCTCTCTCTTTCTCTCTCTCTCTCTCTCCGTCTCCGCCACGATTTTCATCGCTATTAATGAAAAGTTCATAAGAACACAGGCTGAGGCACGGAAGAGAAAAGAAAAAATGCCCCGGCGATCGGAATGACTCGTTCGACCGTACCGGTGACAAATAGATAAATAGTGCCGTTTAGTGCCACTCGGCGCGTTTGAAGCTCTCCGACTTCAATCATCAGCGCGACGAGATTGAAACTACACACAAACCACCGGCGGCGAAGCTCTCTCGCGCGCGACGAACCGCACGAATTTACGAGCGTCCGGAATTAGGATATCGCCCAACACCGCGCGAACACGCGCGAAACGCGCGGACGTTGTATCTCGAGTGGCCACACTTCCTCGGCCTCCGAAGAGAGAAGATTGCCCAATTCGTGATCGACGAGAGCGAACGCGCGCTTTCCGCGGTCGGCTTTGAGAACCGCTGAGCCTCCGACTCGCTTCCGCCGAAAAAAGGCGGTCTTTTCGCCCACGTCGTATGTCCTCGACACGCGGCACTAAAATTCCTTCTAATCTCACCCAGCCTTCTCGTCTCTCTCTCTCTCTCTCTCTCTCTCTCGTGCGCCCGTCTCGCTCGCGTGGAAAGATCCAGCGTATTGTTCGAAAATCGCGACGGGCCTTATCTCGTTGCTCGGCGAAAACTATCGGCGTTCAATCGTTCGGCAATCGATATCGTGAAAATGATCGGGAAGGTCACCGTGCGCGGGAAATACATGAATATTCGGAGCATCTTACGTGGGGACTCGGGGAAACGTGTGATCTTGTTAAGTACTCGTAGATACTCCAACGTGTTCTCGGTGTGCGCCTATCGCTCGCCTATCTCGACGTTCGTGCGACTTAACTACTGTATCGAGCGAACGAGCAGTCGCGTCGTCGTAGTGTTTTCGCCGGTCATGTCCTATTTTCCCGAAAGACAGTCTCGCTCGTTCGCCTCCTCGTGGAAAACTTATTCACGTGATGGAACACAGACGCACGCATCAGCAAAATGGCGCCAGCTACGTCGCGACAAGGTCGCGCCTGTGTGCTCGCCTCGGCGATAACTCGCTGATAATCGCGAGCGCGTCGGCCAACGTGCCGTTTGTCGATCGCGCCGATTACGGGGCCCCGGCTGTTCCCGCCGAAGCTAAAGCTAGGTGTACTCCCGGGAGGGATTTATCAACGGACGGAGACAACAGTCGCTCTCTCAGAGAGAACACGAGACGCCCGTCAACAAGCGTTTTCTATTCTGGATGGTCTGTAAGACGCTTTCTATAATTATTCTTTAGAATATCGGTGACTCGTAGATATGCTATCGTCGTATCGGCGGAAGAAATCTTTTAACCTCTCGTACATTCCAAATATTTCATTCGTGCGATTCTGCGCTTACCTGTCGCGCTGAAAGTGTCTCGAGATACCTGCCGTTGTATTTCTCCTACGTTCTATTTTTCCTATGAATGAAATTGAGGTAAATACATAATAAGTGATGCGTCGGAAACAATGTATCGTAATTTCTGTCGTGTTAACTTGTTCCTTCTCTCTTTCTCCCGTGTAAGACTCGCGTACAGTCTCTACCCGGCGATGTTACCTTGCCAGACGTACACGGCGTTTCGAACTGTAAAAATCGTCGGCTGACTGGAAGTTAACTATGCGTGACGAGGAACGTCAGGCGGCCGTACATGTCCGTTAATCGTTAGACTGTCGGCGACTATACTAGTCAATGCGACTACTCCCTCGCGCTCGAATAGAAATCTCAAACGCCTCGACTCATCGCGGATCGTCTGATAATAATCCTTCATTCGTGACACGGCAAATTTCTAAGGAAACTCCGTAAAATCGTTAGAGAAAGATGCACGGGAGCACGGTGCCGTTCAGGGAAAGGCTACTCTCCCGAAAGTAATATCGCAGAATGTGGAAGTCGAGAAGTGAAATAGCGCGACTCTCGCATCGCCACCGTCGTCTTTCGTCGCTCCCTTTTCGGGTGAACTTTGTCATCTCGGTATGATCCTGACCTAACGTTCCCGACTTATCCCGGCGATCGTGAGAATTTGGACCGGCACTTGACTAGAGCTCCGAGTCACGCCCGCGCGAATAGTCGGTCGGCGGGTTCTCCCGCAGCCGAAGAGAAGAAATGTGGTCAAGGTCACGAATGGCCGCGCGCGCGCTCATGACGTATGTGAGCCCCTCATCGCCCCCGCCTCCACCTTCGTCGCCACCGCCGTCTTCTCCGAGGTTGAAATTTACATCGCGAATAGCCGCCGATCTCATCTCCTCGACTCTCCGCCTCGCCCGCCGAAAATCGGTTAGTCACACTCGTCACGTTCCGCGGCCATGCCTAGTATCCAGATCATAAATTCCATTGACGACTCTGTAGCTCTTTCGTGCGCTCTCTCGCGCGCCCATCGGCTACCTCATTACGGCGTGTTAGTGCACGCACGTGCACATCGCGTAGAAGCGCCGTTGTTTGCGGCCACGTTTCACCCTTGATCTCCCGACGAGGAAACGGCCAGAACCAACTACCGCTGACGCGAGCTTCGGCCGTATTGTACGGTGAAAAAAAGCATTTCCTAACAATTACCGACATTTCGCGAATATATTTCAACGAAATGTTTTATTATTCTAATCATTCCGTTGCGGTAACCAAACGTTTCATTGAAACATACTCATCAAATTTTGGTCATTGTTACCAAATTCTTCTTCCTGTGTAGAGCGCGAAATAAGAACTACATTGATTTTATTTCGAAAAACGACAACGGAAATGCCAGTGAGAGCTCGGCACACAGATTTAGCTGCGCAAACCAAAAACAGTTTATTATTATTATATGACACTATATTTGGCGTTTTGTATTTTTATATTTATATCTACACAAGAATAATAATTTAGTGTTTTATATTTTGATATTTATGTCTACATAAGAGTAATAACTTATTATTTTTGGTTTCTGCGCCTAAATCTGCGTACCGGCTCTCATTGCCACTTTCGTTTTCCTTTTCCGATTGTATATCACAGAGCCTTAACATTTTTTTCTATTCATTTTTTTTCCCCTAACGTGTTACATTGTACTTAAAAAACGCAGCCTCGTGAAGCTAAGATGGCGCTTTCGGTGCAAATGGAATGTCGTCTCGAAAGATAGAAGTTCTTGAAAAGAAATATTGTTATTCTTCGCTAAAGTATCAGAGTGTTACAAATATTTCAAATTTGCCCTTAGATTTCTTGAAAAATCGGTATATATATATTTATATGGCGTTTTTATAACGTTGAGAAATTTTGATTCAAAACAATGGATTTTTGGCGGGAGGGAATGGCAGGTTGCAAATTTGCCAAAAAAACGCGCCCGTCCCTGAGATATTTCCCCGTAAATCTAAAATCGACGCGGTAAAAACTCGGAATCGGTACTTTCTTACTCTGGCGGTTTCCTCCGAGCGTATAATCATACCCTTAGCCGATATATCGAGCGCGCAAGGGCTGCTTAGAAGCGAGCTACAGGAAGGGACGAACCTCTCTCGGAGCGATTCATGGCGAACGCTTTCTCTCCCTCTACATTTCGTTAGCAATACGGTCGTTGCTTCTGCAGCGCAGGGGCCGATCCTCGGATACAATGCCGCGCGAAGAGCGTTACCGAAGAGCCGAGGCCAGAACTAGTTTGGTGGGTTGTTGAGTTAGGTTTTAGAAGAACTCTACCAAAGCCGCGGCCTAATCGGGCTTTAGGCGGCTCGCACGCCGCTCTGCCTACCGAACTATGTTCGCTCGCGTCGTTTTAGAGCAGTTGTTATACCGAGGCGCAGTATAGACGCTTTTGGTATTCTCGTGCTTCCGAATATCAAAATCTTTTAACCTTACA